TCAGATATACATTCCTGCTGGAATTACATATGTAAATTATACATGCATATTATACATGGAAACTACACATGTACGATGATTTACATGTACATGTAAATTAACATAAAAATAAAACATTGGTATTAATTTTGGGATTAATTTTTAATACGCTTATTCAAATTCTCTGATGCTAAATCTCCTTATGGAAATTGTATTTCAGAGCGCTGAAAACCTTCTCAATGTTTATAATCAAAATATGCACCACTGTATATATGTACACTGCGTACAGTACTCATACAAATGTAAATCGTTGCCAATCAGGGAAGCAGAAGTCAATAGACTAACCAACAAATAACCATCTTCAGCAATTGTGTGTTCATATTTGGATGCCATTTTTCATGGATCTGTGATGCCTCAATCCATCTTAGTCTTGCCCAAGAACTGATTTCAGTGTATTTTTAACTCGTTTCCCTCCTTTGGCTGCATCTTCATCCAACGTCTCATCCACAGTATATGCCATCATCCCTAGGAGCAGTGTGTCCTGTCTAATCCCACTTACTCTTCTTAGCAGTCAATTCGTCTCATATCTTTGCTTGATATTTAAATCCATGCGGTCTCCTTTCTGTCTCTCAGTTGCAATTCCCAGAATCAATCTCTCAAGGCTTTTCTAACATGCCTCTTTCATTTAATGGAGACATCCTTTGTTGCTCTCATTTCTTGGAATTCCAGTTAACGGTACGACTGAGCTAAACAAGTGTACAGCATCTGAATCGTGTGATTACCGGCAGGAGAATTTGCAATCAGTGTCACATGAATGATCTATGAAATAAAACAATAAAAAAGAGAACAGCCATTTGGAATTCTGGAGCAGATATCTTGCCACATGTAAGATGGTACACAGGCAGGTCAGTGGCTTCCACCACGACACGTGTTCAGTTTTATTACAGGCTACGCACCATTGTTATGACAATTCAACAAGTAATCGCACAGATTCATAGCTGGGGAATGCTTTTTTTTTCCAGTGTGATTAACTTTCTTGCAAAAATATCAACATGCAACATTATGAATAGTTGGATATCGCATACTTGTGAATTAGGCCTCTGTTGCCATTGAAACGGATTCACGTGTGTATACATAAAACGGAGGTAACCTTAAAATGCTGCAAATATAATTTGTGAACATCTTTAAGGCGATTATAGTCTGGAGCCAAAACAAAATCCCCATCATTGCACGAAAATGTCTCGCAAAAATCATATCACTTCACATTTGACCTTTTTCAGAAAATCAATAAACCAACATAACACAATATAGAGGCTGATAATATCGTGCATTAAATATATCACTGGATTGTCAGTGCTTCTGACACAAAGGGTTTTGTGTCTGTGTGTCAATACAGCAATTTAAGTATTAAAGCTTTCGTGACTGCATAAAATTACTCATTGGCTTTTTCGGTAAAGTCACGTATGTAGAAATACAATGTGTTTTATGACTTCAAGCTGGAAGCAAAAATTTGTATATTGAGCACTCACTGCAATATAATTTTATTGTATTTCTACATACGTGACTTTACCGAAAAAGACAATGAGCAATTTAAGTATTCACGGTGCAGTATACAGGGTAGCCCCAAAGTCAGGACACATAGGGTTATTTAATGTATTTGAACATTAGCATTAAAACATGTTGTTTATTATTTAAGTTAATATTTTATCCATTATCATTATTTATATCTAGTTTTCATCTTACTTTTCAGACGATATTTAAAAATGGAAAGAAAAGTGACGAAATACGAACGAGTTCAAATAGTCTTATGTACGCTAAAGAAGGCAGCTGCAATATTTAAAAACAAAATTCTTGAATTAATTTGAAAAGAGAATTCACGCATGCATTAATGTTAACGGAAGCCCGTTTGAAAATGTATTAAAATAAATTAAATAACCCTGTGATTTAACATGAATGAAATAACCCTGTGTCCTGACTTTTGGGCCACTCTGTACAGAGGCACCATCTGTTCACCCTTCCCAAGTATCAATTTTAAATTAATCACAGATTATATACCATATGGACTGTTTAAATATCCAAAATATTAAATTGCCCATAAAAATATTGCAAAGGGGATGATGTGTTTTATGACTTCAAGCTGGAAGCAAAAATTTGTATATTGAGCACTCACTGCAAGAACGTACACATTATACAATTACTATAATTCCCAGATTATAAGAAAGTCCAGAAAATAAGATGCACTCATAACTTGTGCTCCCTGTCAATTAAATTGGACAAATATGATCACACACACCTACTTAATTTTTAAGATGGCTCTCTAACCTTTGTTTTAAATACATGGTAAAAAAAAGTCGTTTATAATATGGAGAAGACTATATATGTATATCCTTCAATAATGCAACGATAATATTACCGTAATATATTATTAAAATCAGTCATATTTTTGTTCATTTGTACTATTACGTTGGCTGCGTTCCCTTATCTTTGGCCTATTTGTCATGTCATGTTGTGTTATTTATATTGTAAAATAAGACAAGAGTTTGAGGCACGTTGCTAATCATGTTAGAAGAAAACATATAAGTTGCAAGGTCATCCGGGATATTACAACAACTATATTCAAAACAGCACTCTGCAACATTCAAAATATAATGCATACAAAAACAACTGTCATGTTCACTTTTATTGAAACTCGTTGAGGAATTAAATAAACTATGGGCGAGAAACTCGCACTCAACAGCACTACTCACGGTGAATACTCATTAAGCTGATGCTATTTATTTTAATTACACATACGAATACGATTACATGGACTATAACTGAACACACAGGGGCTTTCACAGCCAATATTATGAATAATAATAATAGATGGTTGGGGATTAGGTCACATGACGAAATACAAAGGACTACGGAATTAGTAACAAAAGCCAGATGGAGTGGGGGGATTGGCGCCACGGTGGTGAGATGTTAACTACCTCGCCTGGTGTGCAGGAGGTCGTGGGTTTGAATCCAACTGTGACGCCTGCTCTATATTTGGAGTTTGCGTGTCTGTCTCGCTGCGGTCGCATGGGCCTCCGGGTTTTCCCTCCACATTTTATAACACGCGTTTAGAGTATTTAGTCGCTATGAATTCCCACATTTGTGGCCAGGTCGCTTCTGAAAAAAAAAGCTGGAAACTCAGTGAGCCTTACCTGGTAAAATAACATTTAAAAAATAGTTTTAAGAGACTGTGAATTCAAAGACAGGCTGGCAGCAACTGCTGCCATTCAACAACTTGCATATAGGTGGCAGTAACATCTAAGGGTTGGGTGTCATTTTTACAAGATGCCAGATTTTAAATGGGGATATGTTGTCCAGCAACGCAGTTGTATTTAATTAAGCACCATGCTAAACTAAGATACAGTGAAATTACTTTGATAACTTTATAGAATTTCAAATAAACGCATCTAAAGAAGGACTCCCTCGATGGGAAGCTATACGTTTAAATTAAGGTTTTTAAAATCATAATCACAATCCAACATCGTGTACAGTATTTATCCATCCATCAATATTTGATAAGCTATAACAATTGTATGACATTGCCTCCATATTTGTACACGTAAATAAAGAGAATCCCTTAGTCAGAGAGCACACTTAAAATGCAAATCAATTACATTTGAGTTAAAGGACATCATCTGAGCAGGTGGTACAGCCAGCAGTGAGCAATCGGAAAGGCTACGAGTTCAAATTCTGATCTGGGGTTGATTCAGCTCATAATCTCTCTGGCATCGATAACATGAGTACCACTTTGTGGGAAAGTCAACAGTGGTTGTCCTTTGGGGAGACTGCATAAATCTCCACGAATGGCTTGATGCTGTAAACACTGATGAAAAAAATATGAGCTGGGAGTTTTTATTTTTTATTTGTAAAATCAAATGAGCATATATTACCACTCGACCCTCTGGGAGTGAACGTTACGTTCGGCACTGCGCAAATGTACACTTACATGTATGTTCGCTAAGGACACACTATTTTATTGCAATGGGATAGTTGTAACAGCACGACCAATTTTTTGGGCCTGCTAACAAAAAAAATCTCCCATAGCACGCATGGTGATTTGAAAATTACATTAATCCCCACAAAACTCTTAATTTATGAAACTCGGGAGTCTAACTGCAACGAATGTATCTCATTTAATGATATACAATATAAAACTATTTCAGAAAATATAATGCCCAGTTTCAATAAAAAAAAATCAAGTTTGTGGTAGAGCAAGCTGAAAAACACATCATTATCACCATTAACAATGCCTAACAGCAGAAAGGTATTAAGTCGGCTATTTTTATTTCAAGCAGACCATCGGTTTTTTTCCGACCACCCATACATTATAACAATATACATACCTTTATTTTACTTTGATGCATTCCTTGTTGAATCTCAGCCCAGTCAGTTTGCTTAGTCTCGTCATACAATGTCGAATATCACGGGAAATTTCCCTTCAGCAATGTTCACATCACGGTGTCTTATTGTATTTGCTAAAGTTCAACAAAAATAACTTTTTTTCACAGGGCACTGCATTCCGATCAAAAGCACACATTTCTTAGGAGAATTAGCATGCATAAAATCTACTTTCAAATTCTCAATGCTGTCTGTTATCTTTAAAAGCAATATCTGCAGCCCTCTCGTCAATCTACCGTTCTGGATTAAACGCCTGCCCATGCCGGGTCGGTCGTGGCGGATTGCTTGACCATACTTTAACACGCTGGCCAGCGCAGGTTGGTGAAGGGATAAACATTTTTTTTTTATTTAAACCAGGTAAAGGCCCACTGAGCTATATAGCTCGTTTCCAGAAGCGGCCTAGACATAAATGATAGCTCAACGAAGTGGTTTCTCAACGTGGAAGTTTATCGCAGCCAAATACTAGGGACGCGTGACGTGGTTTTGTTTGTTTAATGTGGAGGGGAAAACCCGGAGTACCCGGAGAAAAATCCACGTGACCACGGGGAGAGAGACACGCAAACTCCAAAATATAAAGCAGGCGTCGGGGTTGGGATCGAACCCACGACCTCCTGTATACGAAGCGATTTAGTTAACATCTCGCACCGATAAGGTGGTACCCAGGACCAGCTCAGATATAGCTCGCCACTGATGTGAGTCACGGCCTGATATTTATCCTTGGTATCGTAGTGCAGTTCGACAAACGCTGTGCAACTGCTCGACCATGTTGTTTACCCTACTTGTGGAGTATTACTCGTTACAGCGCAGTGATGTGATCGGTTTTTTTTTCCTTCCTATTATTACGGTCACTTGTTTATGCTTAATGATGAAGACAATCTTGAGACGACCTTCAAAATGTTTTTCCTCTCCAGAAGCCTCCAATTTTAACCGTGTTTTGTGGATTGCAAAGGTCATTTGCAACCAATGTAATTCAATAATGTTTATTTGTTCTTCTGTCATGCGTGCCACAGCTTCACCTTTGTGTTCTATGAAATCTAGTTAGCCTGCTGAATGAGCTCAGGCAACCACATCTTACAAGCAGTGATGGAATCCCCGAGCCTTACTTTGCAGCTCCTAAATGCAAGCTGGCGCTGTGACAAATCGCTAATCATGTTTAATTACTGTGCATACCAGCCCAGTGCTTAGCCTGATAGATCGCAATGGAAGGTAAATTGTTACAAGGCTGCGCGGTAGCGCGTTTGCCGCCTATTGCAGAGATATGTGGTCCAAGAAACCTGGACCCCCAGGTTAATACCTGTGACAGCATAAACTGTACAATGTCCACCATCTGCATCATGGTGGACGTTGAAGATCCCTCTGATGTTTTGTGCTGGCACCAAGGTCCAAATTAGTCAAAATTTAAATATTACCGAAATATTACTGATGTTATAGAATACACAATATAAATTCGTTTCCTTTCCAGAAATGTCATTAGATTTCTTGTATATGTAAAATTGCTTCCAACATTACACCATACTGGCAGACATGCCCACTTTCAGGCTTGTGCTGTGTTGACATTCTGCTGCACAGGGACAGCTGCCATCAGGGGTCCCCCCAAGGCTAAAGAACTGCGTTTTGAGATGGTTGTTACCTTATGGGTGTTTGCTATTGTCGCTGTTGAAAAAGAGACTTTCAAAGTAATATCATGACCAACAGTGTAGCTTAAATCATCAGTCACTCAAACCATTCACAATGTTTCGGAGTAACTCCAGATGGACCAGAGAATTCCGAGGGTGAGGGTGTACATCACGATCACAAGCAGGTAGAGCCGGAAGAGGAGGCTGTCCAAGACGTGCCCTACTTGCAGCCACTCCCCAGTCACCTGCTTCTCCTCCTCCTGCTTCTCCAGATGCCTCCTGAGGCCCGAAATCTCCCTGAGGACACGACGTATGGTGCTGGTCGGCATTTGGCCCTCTCCTCCATGCTCGCAGACCTTCTCCTCACAGCGGAAAAAGGGACTTGGGTTCTCTGACAGACACGAGGGGGCAAACGGGTGGCAGGATGGCACAGTCGTGAAACAGAATGTTTATTTTTGCCTGGGGACATCTGATGAACAATTAAGGCCTTTTTTTCTCGCAGACGTCCAGTTGGACAACTGAGGCACAAATATTTGCGCCTCAGTTAAATTCCTGACTCAGGGGAGCCTTTCTGTGTGGAGTGCGTTTGTGTGGTCTCTCCGCCTGTCCTGCATGGATTTTCTCCAGGTTCTCTGGTTTCCTACCACAGCTAGACACACACACGATGTAACTGGTATTGTTCAAATATCCCAAAGCTGAAACATTATCTGCAAATTACACAATTGGAATGACACATTGGAACATTTACCCCCCCCCCCCCCGACTGCGACAACACGGCAGGACTCGGTGAGACTTCACCGGGTAAACAAGCATGTTTAAATACAATAAACATTAAACACTTGTCTTGTTTGGAGTTTTATTCTTGCCCTTGTAGAGGCCTTGTTTCATCTACTCCTGGATGAGGGTTTCCACACCATGCATGTTGTGGCGATAACCTCATCCATTTGTCCAGAATAATATTTTTTTTTATAGAAACAAAAATGTTTTATTCCCTGACCATACTTCACCATGTTAGTCAATTCTGATTGGTGAAGGTGGGGCGCATAGGCTTGAGTGCATAAAAATACAGATTTTTGCTGCACTACCCACTAGCTGATTACCATGCAGCCTGCCTCTAACAACCTGTACCCAAGCACTATCGAAGCCCAAACTCTGCTCAGCTTCAGTGATCTGAAGGGATTGGGCGCATTCTGGATGATGTGGTCACAGTCTAATAACTTTTAGAACACCATTTTATGCATTAATGAATTGATTCCAGGCCCATGGTTGACATGAGTGGCGAGGAGTGATATCTGAACTGGTCCTCGGCACGTCAAAGCATGTCCCCTTCACCAACCTGCACTGACCAACATGGTGAAGTATGGTCAAGCAACCCACGGTCATCCATCGTGGGGAGGCCCTCATGCATTAATTTGTTGTAGTTGCTACTGGTACTGTAATAATGATCACGTGTCGTGTTATTGCCAGGGTGTGTTTGGAAGGCCTCACCATTATCAGCGGCATTCTGGGCTCCATCGTTGGGAAAGGTGACACTGCGTGGGTAGGGAATTTGCTTTCTGCATAAAATGACGGAACCTCTGGAGAGAAGCCACTTTTTAAGCCAGGGAGGCACATGAGACTGAACATCCTGCTTATGGACCAGTCGCACAATGAAGATGGTCTCCATCAAACTGATCACAAGCAAAGCCATGCACACCACAAAATACACCGCTGTCCAGAGAGAGAGAGAGAGAGAAGGGGGGGGGGGGGGGGGGGAGAGACATAGACATTATAATAGATTGAACATCATAACCAGTGAAATATATATGTACAGTACACGTAAAAATAGTTACCGGTATTAGGTTGGATTTTGTGTCATGCTGCACAGAAGCAGAATAACTTTGTTCACTGATGATCGCATATTTTTGGGCGGTGATATGGCTGAGCGGTAATACATTTGCTACTGGTTGCAGAGGTTTGTGGTTCAACCCATTGACCGCTTCGATTAAAATTGTTGGGTTATTAATCGTACAATACGCGCCATCTAAATCATAGTGGACTTTGAAGATCCCGTGATGAAGACACAGGGCCGTGCTCTTTATCCTTTTTGCTAAACTTGAAAACTTACTCGTAATTTACTTAACTAGGAAAACATCTGTGTATATATATTGACCCCTTACTGGTAGATGAATGCCTACATGCAGACAACTGCCATCAGGGTACCCCCTGGGAAAAGTGCAGGCGAGCTCTCAACACTTTTGTTATGTTATTTTCACAATAAAAAATGCAACTTGCCATAGGTCAAGAATTCAACACAACACCTCAAGCAATTTACAACTTTTGGGTGACTTGCCCAATGAGAAACACCAATCAATGTCCGGGCCAATAATTTTGGGGGGTCCAAAATCTAAAATATCGGTTTATCAGATTTGTCTCATTATGAGCAGACCTGACTACATTGATGCTAAGTTCCTTTCCAAAACATCGTGATCATTTACATCAGCCACGCACTCGAGACACAATCGTGAATTTCTGGACACAAGTAGCAGAAGAACGCTGTGATGACCCCCCCCCCACCACAACCACATATAAGGAGCCACCCTGCAGCAGAAGCGACGCGTGGCTTCACACGTGGCTTCACCTTCCCTAAAATTTGTGGAAGGGGTTCCAGACAGCAGCAGCAACACGAAGCAATCTGCCGAGCTTCAGTCATGAAATTGCAAAAGTGTCAAGAATGCGTCAAGGTCCTCGGCATGAATGCTAGCATGCCTTGTCATGGTCTCTGCTTCCCTCTCCTAGTTCCAGAAAGCACGCGTGTCAACACCAAAGGGTTGAAACGATACAAGAGACCCCCTGCTTAAAAACCGTGGAGAAACACAAAAAAAACCACCCCTGATCATCAAAAGGGGAACTTCTGCAGCATCTTTTTTTTTCTATCAAAGCACAGTACAGTAGACGCCTCTAAAATTCTGACACGAGCTGATAAAACAACATTCGAAATTTATATTCAACGACCACTTACTGCGTGAACACCCGCACAGTACTCTGAAATAACAATAACCTTGATTATTCATTATTCACCTCGTTAGAAAGGCTGTAAGTAAAAGCAAAAAAAACCCTTTCAAGCCGACCGCTTACATAAGACCTCAACAATTGGCGACAGCGGCTGCCCCTGAGAGACACTGCAATGAAGTGGTAGGCTGATAGCGTTGCAGTGTTTACGCGACTGCGAACATCCACGACACTTGTACACGAACGATAAGCGTTGCACAGTCGGCGATTGGCCAGGCTTTAAACACCGAGTTCATGGCTTCGAGTCAGGCCCTCCTCTGGGGTGCGGACTCCATGTGAATTTGGCGTCGTGGTGGGTGCGGTCATGGACATCAGCCAGGTTCAAGACGGAGGCGTCTGGACACGTGTCATGATGGCACTACCACTCACCCTACCACGTGTACGGTGCCTGCCTTAAGGGAATTATATGCTTACAAAAGCCACTTGGGGCCTGTATTATTAGAGGCCATCCATTGAGTAAAAATCTGTCAAAACTTGACCAAGTCCCGGGAGGGAGCGTGGCTGTTCTGCTGGGACAACTCTGGGAAGGAAGCCACCATCTACGATCCTCGATATCGGGTCTCCGCTAGTGGGCCAGGCAGCGTGTTGAGCTGTCCTGGTCCGGTAATATAGTGTCCCCGGTGTGTTTTAACTAAGTTAGGAGCGGTGGTTACCACCCTATGCCGTTATCCTGTTAACGTTCAGAGTTACCTGTTGTGTTAGTTAATAAACGTGTTGCCTCCAGTTCGAGTGTGCGCCTCAATCGAACCCACTACAAATACAGTGGTGCTGCTGTGACATTACGTCAGGTGTTTTATGACATAGTTGCGTGCAATAACTACTGCCATATTACGGCTTCTGTCCTAGGATGGGCTAACAAGCTAGTTTCCTATACTCGTTTAATGACCACAGCACTTAACGACCCATGTCGCGAAACAAATTGAACTTCTTTCGCACCATACGCAGCCAACCGTGCAAATCGGAGGTGCTAATCGGTTCTGGGCCTCCCCTAAGTCGACTTGGCCATAAACGAGTACCGCGTTGTGTAAACATCAGCACTCGTGGAGACAAATGCTGCCAGGCGTGAAACCAGCAACGCCATCCCCAGCTGGAAGATCTAAGAAGGCTCGATGGGGTGGTGGAGTGTTTCAGGCACACGTGGAAGGAATCTGTGTCTAAGCACAGTCGCGCTTACGGCCATGCCCAAAGGTGCCGAATTCCACAGCCTGTGTGTATAAATTTCAGGTTTACGAATTGTGGGGGAAATAGTGTAATTGATCAGTTCTGCCCTAGCTGCGTCACGGCCCTTCGCACTTTGGTTCATTCCACCACGCAGACTGAGGCACGGTGGAATGTGCTATCTGAGTAGAGCAACGGTACTGGTTGCAACTGCAACCTGTTTTTTTTTTGTTGTACAATAAACAAATGGGGGATTATTCTGTCACAAACAGAATGATGGAGGCCTGCAAACACTACGCGAACTGGATGCCAAATGGTACCTAAAACAACACACAAGCAGGGTGCCTAATGGCGTGATGTAAACGGGGAGAGGAACATTCAAAATGTAAAAAAAGCGTGATAACAGCCCTGGCCACCTGTTGTAATGAGTAGAGTGGTTACATGTTGGACACATTCAGAATACAGGTCTCATTGGGGGCAAAGCAACCGTTGATTGTCTAGGTCAGGGGTCAGCAACCTGCGGCTCCCGGAGCCGCATGTGGCTCTTTAAGCGCTGCAGTGCGGCTCTTAAAAATCGAAAAAAACGGCTCTTGTTGTTATTTTGGTTGCCGATCCCTGACCATTGAAGTCCAGTTCACCATGGCAGTCCAGTTCACCATGGCAGTCCAGTTCACCATGGCAGTCCAGTTCACCATGGAAGTCCAGTTCACCATGGAAGTCCAGTTCACCATGGCAGTCCAGTTCACCATGGAAGTCCAGTTCACCATGGAAGTCCAGTTCACCATGGAAGTCTCACCATGGAAGTCCAGTTCACCATGGAAGTCCAGTTCACCATGGAAGTCCGGTTTACCATGGAAGTCCGGTTCACCATGGCAGTCCAGTTCACCATGGCAGTCCAGTTCACCATGGAAGTCCAGTTCACCATGGCAGTCCAGTTCACCATGGCAGTCCAGTTCACCATGGAAGTCCAGTTCACCATGGCAGTCCAGTTCACCATGGAAGTCCAGTTCACCATGGAAGTCCAGTTCACCATGGAAGTCCAGTTCACCATGGAAGTCCAGTTCACCATGGCAGTCCGGTTCACCATGGAAGTCCAGTTCACCATGGAAGTCCAGTTCACCATGGAAGTCCGGTTCACCATGGAAGTCCGGTTCACCATGGAAGTCCGGTTCATCAAGGAAGTCCGGTTTATCATGGCAACCCAGTTCACCATTGCAGTCCAGTTCACCATGGAAGTCTAGTTCACCATGGAAGTCCAGTTTACCATGGAAGTCCGGTTCACCATGGAAGTCCGGTTTACCATGGAAGTCCAGTTCACCATGGAAGTCCGGTTCACCATGGAAGTCCAGTTTACCATGGAAGTCCGGTTCACAATGGAAGTCCAGTTCACCATTGCAGTCCAGTTCACCATGGAAGTCCAGTTCACCATGGCAGTCCAGTTCACCATGAAAGTCTCACCATGGAAGTCCAGTTCACCATGGAAGTCCAGTTCACCATGGAAGTCCGGTTTACCATGGAAGTCCGGTTCACCATGGAAGTCCAGTTCACCATTGCAGTCCAGTTCTAAGCACCATGGAAGTCCAGTTCACCATTGCAATCCGGTTCACCATGGAAGTCCAGTTCACCATGGAAGTCCGGTTCACCATGGAAGTCCAGTTCACTATGGCAGTCCAGTTCACCATGGAAGTCCAGTTTATTATCTGCAGAGGGCGGTAACCTGTGGCTTCAGAGCCGCATGCAGCTCTTGAAGGACCGCTTTGTGACTTTTTTTTTTACGAAGGACTGCTGTCTCGCATTCACCACGTGCAACATTGTATAATTTCTTTACAGAATTCTAAAAAAAGAAATGCCTCCCCTTGTGTTGGTTGAAGAAACCCTGCTCTCGGTGAACAACAAAAGTGATGACACGTCGATAATAATACACACGCGGGTACCTATGAGTGGCGTCCCAATCGGAGTGGCCGGCAGCGTGTCTTGGACTACGATAAGAAACACTGAGTAGCCCAGAAGGAGTGTAATCTTAAAGGAGACCCTCTCTCCGCTGTCTGGCGGCAGGTAGAAGCCAGCGATGTCCATCACCATCAGGAAAGCACTCGGCATGATCAGGTTGACCACATAAAACAGAGGCCGTCTGCGTATAACCACCTGCAACAGTGCAAAAAAAATTGGGAGGATAATAAAGAGGGTTTTGTTATTGTCGTTGTCAATATCGACAAAGAAATGAGAGTTACAAAGGCAATATTAAATAGCTATTCTTTGGGTCTTTCGGTAAAGTCACGTAGATAGGTTCAAAGAAAATAACAAAAAAAATACGACGTTTCAATCGCAACACAAGCGGTCCTCAATAGTAAGATCTGGAAGTTGAAGGACGCCTGTGTTGCGATTGAAACATCAAAGTTTTTTTTTGTTATTTTCTTTGAAACCTATCTACGTGACTTTACCGAAAAACCCCAAAGGATATGAATTCCTGCAGTCACGAAAGCTTTAAGTCAAGATTAAATAGCCAGGCGATCTTTATTTACTTAAGTATGGACTGGTCCTGCTGAAGCTCAGATGAGTAAGAGGTACCAGAGGCATTGTAATTGCTCGCTTAGGGGCCTCCACTAGAGGACGCTGTAGACGGTGGCTGGCCTACTTTCCCACGCTGGCCGGAAGTCTTGGAAGAGGTGGGAAATACCCACACTTTACCCCACCACACTCGACCTTGCTGGGCTACGAACTGTGGTGCACACATTTCTACTGCCGGGTGGACAGAGGCGGTGTGGCGGGGGGGAGGTAGTTTAGTAAACTTGCACCAAATCGAACAACGGTGACCCTCTGGATCGCATATTCAGCGTGCTGACCATTGCACCACCACAGGAGCACCCCCCCCCCTACCCCCAAAATGATGCTTAATTTCTAGGAACAAAGCAAAAGGGGAAGACTCACGTAAATTTTCAACTCGGAGAAGCGGTTTTCACCATAGAGAGGGTGGAGTAACTCATTGGGAACAGATATTAACTCCCATTCTCCAAAGTTTAAAAAGATGGACTTGTCTTCTTTAATTTCCTCAGTGGTCCTCCACAGGGTTAAGTTAATGTCATTGGCTAGGTGAAAAAAAAGTAGCAGTTGAAATGAAATCATACAAATCATCCACACCTCCGATTAGCGCGATTGGTTATGCACAGTGCGAAAAATAAGTTCAGCGTGCGTACATACAAACATAATGTTAAGTGTTGAAGTCAAAGTGGTCGTGCATAGTGTACTCCAACAAAACATGTTCTTCTCAAAAAGTCAAAGTGATTTGAGAACAGTGCTTATCCCTAGTTTACAACCGCTGTTGACTTCCCCACAAAGTGGTACTCGTTTTGATCAACCACGGAGGCATGATGAGCCGAGTCAAATAGGATAAAAACTCCACATTTTACCCCTCATCAAATGATTTCACTGATCGAATCTTAGTGCAGTTTGTTCATTTTTTTTTTACCAACGAATAATGGACTCGGCAGCAATTGCCCATCAGTGCATGAGAAAAAAAAATGTAATAACACCCTGTCATTTGTTTCTGCTCGATACACACTGCAAAATCAATGGGATAAATGAATGAAGTCATGTTGAGTTGCGCCGGTGGAGTGGCTTGTTAACAAATCTGCGAGTCAATGGGTGCACGGAACTTTTTTTTCAAACCGGTGAGCAGCGCTTACACGTGTGAAGCCAGCTGGTAAAGGTCAGAGTGCAATTCTGCACATCAAAAGGGAAGCTGTAGATATCCAGGCTGCACGCGGACACCACCTGCAGTGGTTTGTAATTCATTACCGTTCCATTATAACTTAGATAGACATATCCGATATCAGGCGACTTCCCCACATCCACGCTGTATTGAAACATCATACATACACACACACACAGACAACGTTAAAAAAAACCGGTCACGGTATACGGAAACACGTACATTTTATAGCCGCTTTAATGTTACAGGTTAGACAGTCGGTTGAGCATATATTTCCTTGAGATTTTAGCACGCACTACTGCGGGCATCCTTGGGAATAGAGAATGGAATGCAAACGGCTCAATGTCTAGTTTAGTGTTATATAGCGTTATTGTTCATGCACAATTTTTTAGGAAACAGAGACACGGCTTGAAGGCAGGGAGCTGGTGCCAACCATTGCCCAGGCTCTGCAGTCCTATATATATATGTTTAGATTTTTCAGCCATTAACACTTAGCCCAACCCGAAAAAACACGCGGTTTCCATTTGAACAAAGTACCGGTGAAAGTTACTACAGTTGACGGGAGGACGGCCGTGGATAATTCAAAATCGAGGATAATCCAAAAATATAAATTTTCCGCGGATCTCTTTGCCAAAAACGTGTGCCCAGTGATAACACTTTCCCACTCCCACGCAGAAGACTCGGCCTCCTAAGTGGAAAGCAGAGCCACGCCAAGAAAAATCAAACTCCGCCCACTGTTGTAAAGATATGCAACTACTGTACTGTAGAGGTGATCACGTGGATTTCGGATGAACTGGAGCAACATATTTATTCAGTTTAAGCACGTGACTTGTAATACACATTTCCAATAATAACAATGTATAACTGTTTTTATATTATTAATTTGGGCTTCAGGGAAAATTTATGAGTTATCAATAGATGTCAAAATGTCAGATGCACGATTAATCCGCAAATCGCATAAACAGCACGTGGATAATCGAGAGTCTACTGTGCACAATTTTATTAAAACATTTTCTTGGAATGCGCGAAATGAAATCAGTGCTCTTAGCATGTACCACGATTTCACCATGTGGAATGTGTGTATACAATTCTACTTACAACTCGCTTATCATAATATCAGGAACCCAGATGTTGTTCGTGGGAATTGATATTTGCTCAATGCCGTCATACTGAACAGGGTCCCATTGTAGGAACTCATCAGTCCACCGCTGCAATGGATAACAAATATAGGAGTCAAACAATAGATCCAGGACGAGACGCCATCGTGGCCTAAGCCGCTGGTGCCACCGCACCTCGCTACCAACTCGGTTTTACCCTCTGCCAGATCCAGCAGCTGCTGCTGCTGCTGCACAGTAGACACGTGGTGACCTCCAAGATCTGCCCTCACAGCATCCCACCATCTGCTCTTAAGTTTTCCCATGCAAATGCCTAGTAATAGTGATCATTGCTAAGCAATACCACAGGTGAATTCATAGACAAAAATTCCCCCGTATAGCCTGAACAGACTGTTGGGGCAAGTGCTGTTAGCGGTCACCTATGAAGGCCGGAACGGCACGCAAGGGTCATTCATGTATTTTTTAAGAGGATAGCACTCTTAATACCCTACAGCCTTTCCATGCATCGGCACAAATCTGAACTGTAACTCAAGTGCCGTACAAGCTTACGTATATAGTTTTGTATTCAAGTTTGAATATATATCAGATTTCAGGAGCTTCAAATATGCATTATTATGTTACGAGGACAAAATCTACTCCCAACATTTATATATGTAACCTGTCATGACATGGATTGGAACCATGGACTCTGGCAAAGAACATGGATAATTTTTGATTTAAAGCTTTCGTGACTGCAGGGATTCATATTCTTGGTTGTTTTGGTAAAGTCATGTAGAAGGGAAACAATAAAATAATAAGAAAAATAAAATTATAAAACAATAAAATTCCCTTCTACGTGACTTTACCGAAAGAACCAAGAATATGGATATATATTTTTTATAAACATGCAACTAAGCATAGACAGATACTTGCTGGGAGTTACATTCAGGAACAGAGAGGGAAACACGTGAACACATTCCAATTAAAGACGGCATCTTGACCGTCAATAAATGTAGACTTGGTTAGAAATGTAGACTTGGTTAGGCTCCTCCCACCTTTTTACACCTGATGACTGTCGCTTGTGTTGCGATCGAAACGTCGTCGTTTTTATTAATATTTTATGATTATTTCTTAACCTATTTACATGACTTTACCGAAAGATCCAAAGAATTTGATTAGGGACACTTCGCGAGTACAGATAAGGACCAGTGGACAAGACTGGTGACGGAATGGCAACTGAAGGAGGGAACACATCCAACAGGGACGATGACTACTCACGCGGATGAAGCTACAGGATCAGCTGATGCATGACAGTAAGATGGATTGTGAAATGCGGAACCATCAACGACTGCAACGATTTTGGGAGGTATTCGACATGGGCTAGATCACGGTTGATGATTATGAATACCAAATAAAGAAAACACCACTCAATAGCCGAATGTACCTGTCGATACCAGATATACGCTGTAAGCACTTGGTTTTTCTCATCCTGATGGGGGAAAAAAAAAAAACAACTGTCACTTTGGCAAGTATTATTAATATAAACAGACCACACGCTGTACTCGAAGCAAGATTTAGTATGAAAAAATACCGAACTGCCGACACAAAACAAACTGCAGGTGCCCTGTAGAAATGCAATGCTTTAATTACGCATACAAAATGTTGCGGATCATTATGCTGGGTGGTTTTACACTGGTGGTGCCACTCTTGTGTACCCCTGGCATATGCTGCCAATGCTCTAAATTAACTGCGAATACGGGCACGAATATTTAAGCACGTGTGTGGTTGCAGAAGCATAGGGCATTACGATGATTAGTGGTCACTACTGTGCCACAGTGTTTGTAGAGAATACGCATTTTTCCGCACTATAATGTGTGTACAGATGAGCACTGATTCGTCCTGCGATGCGGTTACAAGCAGCACCACGTTGCGTGCAAGTTTGACACCGTTTGCCCTGAAGCGGCATCTATGTTCAAACACGATATTTGTTCCGTTTGCACTGAAGAGGTCCAGCCGGTACTTACCACATTGAGTATCGCGTACAGCATCACATCGATCGCAACAATGATAGGTTGTCGCCAGTTTTTAACCGGCCGCACGCCTTTGTCGTATCCAGAGGACAAGCGTGAAGACAAGTTCCTCAGCGGCGTCTTTTTGTGCGCGTTCGTCGAGTGCGCTGCAAAACAAGACGGGTTTCGGGCGAGGTTCCTTAGAGCGCGTTGCGCTGCGCGCTCTTTTAAAAGCAGGAAGAGGTGAAGTTTTAAATGAAACACCTCGTGCTCGCGTCACCCGACTTGGCATGTTCAAAATCTATTTCAGAGCACTGCATTGTAATTAACGTATATACATACGAAAAAATTTGTTTAAGGCAATGTGCGGGCACCATACATCACGTTATGACGCACGTACACACCGCCGTGAACATGAAGCCAAAACGGTTATGAAAAGCAGCGGATATGGAAAGATGGAGAACGGACTCGCTGCCCCAAACCAAACAGGATCCCACCGAAGGGAGAAATGATAACCTTTTTTTTTAAGTAAGAGGGAAGGGATAACCAAAACACACCGGACATAAATCAAATGAAAACTCAAGAGTCGGACTTAGCGACTATTTTTATTTTTACACTCCTCTGAGTCCGGATCCCGTCTAACCTGCAGGAGTAATGCTCCTCCTGATCCTCCCTTGGTCACTGTCTCCCGATCCTCCATCCTGCTAACTTATTTGTATATATATATTTTTTAAAGGAAAATTATATTCCACCAAAAATGGAAACCCTCCTAAATGAATTAACTTTAAACACACACCTCTGAAATATATATTAAAAAAACCAGCCAGGTGGCTCTGGGCTAGAGTGAGCAGCTCATTTCTAGATGATTGTGCCATCATTTATTTTGGAGTACCCTGTGAGCCCAGAAGCTCTCAAATCCTGGTTGGTGGTTGACCCAGCCCATAATTCCGCGGTTGATAAATTAAGTGCAGTACTACATTGTGGGGAAATCAACAGGAGTTGTCAAATGAAGAGACTCGCCAGGGAAATTACACCAGTTCAATTCTCATTTAAACAATAACTATTTGACTGTAATTTCAATTAATTCTAGTCAACATTTATATAGGCAAAGTCTAGTATAGAGTAAGGTAATTTTAGGCATATAACATCAGCGGTTAAGTAATTACGTTTGGAAACATTCACCTTACCTCCGTGCTTTAAAAACATCAGTCCACCCAAGACCACCGCTGACAATGTCAACAACCTATGTATCCTCATTTTGGTGAAAGAAATCTTTACTGAAGACCATACAGCAACTTTAAAGTAAAACAAATGTTGATTGCAATTTAAAAAAAAATCAAAACACTATTTTAGGTATATATTTTTGAAAACGTTGTGGTACACAATGGGTAACTTTGCATGGCATATATCAAGGTTCATCGACTCCTCTGTTTTTTGGGACATCTAAGCAGCTTATATCGGTGGTGTAATCCGAGTCCAATATTGACTTCTTCTCAAATAACACAATCACAAGTAACTCGGGGCCTCGGGCTTTGTTTACTGCATTTCTAAATTAAGCAGGAGAAAAAAATAAGAAGGCATTAACAGAATGTAATCATCACAATATTAAGTGGAGCGACTTAAATTAACGTGGCATTAATAAATAAATGCTGGTGAGCGCAGGCGTTAGCGCACTGTGTTGTGCTATTAACCCAACATTCTGAGTTTGACTCCCTGCCATGCCATATAGTGCGATATTTGAACCTGTACCACTGGTTGGCTCCCCTTCTTTACCAATCCACACTGACCGGCGTGGTGAAGTATGACCATTCCATCCAATGAACAGCGAAGCATTGTCAAGGCCTTCATCCAGCAGTGCATTTAGTAATGGATGTAAATGACCACGATCTGTATTTACATTTTAAAATACACGTGTTTATTGAGATCCAAGAACAGCACTTTATGCAGCATGGATTGTTAATTTTGTTTTCATGTCGTGATTTAAATTTGAAGCCCATTTTAAAGTGTTAATTAGAAAACAGTATGTTCACTGATGTCAGAAATGTATATTGTGCAGTGGGAAATAAATACAATGTGTGTATGCATTTACTTAAACATTGGAATAAGAATAAACAAGTATCGTTTCAAAAGATGAAATACCAACATTGAAGTTTTGGAAAATATGTGTTATTAATCTTTTAACCTGAGGGTTAAAAGCAGTTCAAAGTATACCATTATAGCCGTCATGTGTACATGACCTGGGTACTCGTCAAACCGAGCCAAATGTAATTATTACCGTACATATCTCTATCCGTGTTGAGTGTCCTTGCATAAAACTAAAAGTCTCAAAAAAGAAACTTTAGTAATGCATGACTGTGCAAATCTAATTAAATGTAATAAGATTATTTAGAAATGCGAGCACTCAGTCACTTACACCTAATGATGGAAGGAAAATTACATTGTTCAAAGCGCATCAATAATGGACAGGTATATATTCGGAAACTTTTGATCAATATTGCCAATATATTGCAATGAGCTCATAGACTTGCTCAATGTTAACACTGCAGGGGCTGTAATATACCCATTCAAACTATTTTTTTTTAATGTTACCAGGTAAGGCCCACTGAGCTATATAGATATTTTTCAGAAGCGACTTGGAAACCAATTATAGCTCAGCGAAGTGGCTTATTACGTGCAGATTTATAGCAGCCAAATACTCTAAACCAGCGGTCCCCAACCTTTTCGGCACCAGGGACCGGTTTCGTGGAAGACAATTTTTTCAAGGACCGGGGGGGGGGGTGGGTTCATCATTGGGTCAACCCCCTTCGCAAAGAACCTCTCCAGCGACGTTTGTGTTTTACTAATTTTGGCTACTAGGGGTTAGAGCTTGTGGGCTTACCAAAACTGTGACTGAGACGAGTGCGCAGTGCGGGAAAGAGGCGCGGACGGAAGTGGCGAATAATAAAATAATGGGGGCGGGCAACGCGCGGACTCACCGCTCTCACCTCCTGCTGCTGTGCGGCTCGGTTCTTAACAGGCCACGGACCGGTACTGGTCCGTGGCTCGGGGATTGGGGACCCCTGCTCTAAACGCATGATCCTGAATGTGGTGGGAAAAACCGGAGGATCCGGAGAAAAATCCACGCGACCGCGGGGAGACACGCAAACTCCATATATACAGGACGTCAGGGTCGGGATCGAACCTACGAACTCCTGCATACCAGACGATGATACATCACCGATGAACATTAGCAATAAGCACAAACTAAAATGCAAGCCGATAAATTGTCCACTAGCACGCGTGGCATAGTACACATCATACAGCAACTTGGAAGTGGGCTTGTTGGATGATTGTAGAGATGGCGCTGAGGTAGAGCCTGATGAAATGGGCCTTGAGGCACAGGCGTGCTTTGGTACCTCAAATCCGTGCTCACAAAATCCCAAACGCGTGCCTTCTTTCCATCTAAAAACACCAAATTTTCAGCATTCTCCTGTCGCACACTTCGGAGAATTTGATCGCTAGAGAAAAAAAAATGGTCAGGTATTCATACCCACTTCCGCCACCAAATAATGGTTTTTCATCTTTCGTGACTGGTAAACCCTGTAGTACAGCAATGTTTTCAAGAAAAAAACGTATTCTTTCATACTTTGTTGCATTAGTTTTTTCCTGATCGTTCTGAGTCTATGGGCATTCCAGTGTCTTCCCACGTGATAAAATACAGCAACTGTATGACCAAACATTTGAAGACGCCTGGACAAACATCTTGATGGACAGTAAGGCTTCAGTCACAATTTTGTTGGTTGTTAAACATTATTACATTACAGTTCATGAGAGTATTAAAAAAAGGATTCTTTGTATCATTTAATTTGGCCGAAACATTAAATGACTTAAAATCCAAAAATGCACTTATACGTTGGCCCGGATCAATCTTCCTCATTATGCAATCATTCGAAAATGTGTTATTCCCTAAAACGTAGAACATTAAATGACTCACTTTGCACTCAATTATCACCAAGTCAATAACCTAAAATTAGATGCAACTGAATACCTCCCTACTCTTGATTGTTTTTAAGTTTTGTGATCTCATATTACAGTGGTTTAGCAAGATGAATAAACAATACAATAGCTGAATAATCGCTAAGCCAGACTACAATTCCCATCCACAATTGCCACTTTTTGTTGCGATATCTGTTTGTAATAAACTAATATACCATAGTCTGTATGGTATGTACTCTTAAAACTGGTTAGTACTACTATTAATGCATATGGATTAAAAAACACACAATTAAGATTTTACATATAACAGCAATTGAAAACACGTGTGCCCCCACATGTTCATTTTACTGTGAACATTCTGGCAAATTGTACGTCATTTAGGAAGGATATTTCTTTCACAATTCCTCCAGCAATCCTTATTTCACCAAACTCCGATGAGATTAACAAACGTTCCAGAAACTTGACCAACAATAATGGACGAGTATAGAATTGAAGCCTATGACCAAATCACCCGGCATTAGACCTCAGAAGCATTTCTTTAAAGACTACAATTTTTTATTTCACCAGGCAAGGCCCGCTGAGCTACATAACTCTTTTTGAGAAGCGACCTGGCCACAAACGATAGCTCAACGAAGTGGCTTATCATCATGCGTAAATGTATCGCAGGCAAATACTCTAAACGCGTGTTTCGAAATGTGGAGGGTAAAAGAAACCGGAGGACACAGATAAAAAAAAAATCCACGGGGAGAGAGACACGCAAATTCCTACATACAGCAGGCTTTAGGGTCGGAATAAACCCCCCCGACCTTCTGCATACCCGACGAGGAAGGTAACATCACGCCACCGTATGTATTGTATTTCTATAGCACACCTACAACACTAGCATAGAGACTGGTGCGGTAGGCCTCCTGGCCAGCAGTCGGCACTGCAGCAACATGCATTGTTCTGTAATGCCCTCCTCCTTACCGCTTGCCCACCACCACGCAACTTGACCAATCCTCACTGACCAGCGTGGTGAAGTATGATTATAACAAACAAACAAAAAAACCCTTCACTGCCTGCATCACATGGGCTGCCATCATCTTGCAGTGGATTTACAAAACGGACCGGACATGTAAGGAACACGTATATAAAGGATGTGGTCAACTTTTAGGAAATATAGGGCTGACGGTGGACTTGTAAACAAGCGTTGGGCGTGTAGACAAACTGATCTTAAGTTTGAGTACGTTAGGACTTGGTAAAACACGGTAGCTCTGTACTTGTGTCGACTTCCGTAGGCTTGAATAGACTTGACCACAGCTACGCACCAAAAATGTGGGGGGGGGGGAAAGAATTGTGGATAAAATCTAAACATAAAATTGAAGTTGATAGAACCAAATTAATGAAACGAAGTACACTTCACGCAAATGTAAATAATTGCCACGCTCAAGTAATAGAATTACGTAAAAATAGACGTTCACGTCGGCTCAATCTAAGTAATTTTATATGACAAGACAGGATGCGGACCAAACGACGAATGGATTTTTGTGAGCAATGAGGACCGATTATCTGATTACTATTGAATATTCAATCCATACTTACCTCCTGCAAGTGCTTTTAAATACTATTAGACAGAGGAAGTTGCAGCTAAAGTGTAACTTTGCTGAGAAGACATTACATCAAGGGTAACTGAAAACGAATTATTCACTTTAAAGAGGTAAAAAAAACATAAATTGTATTGATTTA